ACCTTTTCTGAGCTCAAGAACCAGCCCTCAGTCCTAGGCCCAGTATTGAATGTATTTCTAAAAGGCTAAAACGATGGAATTGTTTCTGTTAAAAGCTCTCCAGACCCATCCTTTGTGACCATTACTGAATGGAACATTAAGCATCTATTCTGAGGTTATTGGCATTTTGTAAATAATTGCAATTCTTTCGAGACATGATCTCAGGTTCACTTAACATTTCAGAACAGTTTCAGACCAACCACAAGCATATGGTTGGGTATGTTTTAACAGCAGAGAATAAGTTTTATATAGATATATGTGTATGTATGTGAATATACATGTATGTGTATGTACATGAATATACATATATATATGGAGAGAGAGAGAGAAAGAGAGAGAGAGAGAGTGAGTGTAGATGGCTAGATATCTAGACTGCCATATACTTGTAGAGAGGGGAGGGAAGGTTGGTTGGTTCAGACTTGTAATTTCATCTGTCTGTCACCAAGCATTTATGAAGTGTTTGTTTTGTGGTAAGCACCATGCTCCGTGATAGGGATACAGAGAAAGGCAAAAAAAATGTTCCTTCCCTGAAGGAACTCACATGCTAAAGCAGGAAACAACATGCAAATAATTGTACATACAAGCTATATACAGTGTAATGGATTATACCCTCAGAGGGAATGAACAGGGAAAAGTACAGGGGGAGGAATTCAGGAATCAGGAAAGGCTTCTTGCAGAAGGTGGGATTTGAAATGAGTCCTGAATGAGGCCACAAAAGCCAGCAGGCAGAGATGAGAAGGGAGAGCATTCTCTACGTGGGGGACAGCCAGTGGTAAGGTACTAAGTCTGGAGCGTGGTATTCAAAGAACAGCACGGTCAGTGTCACTGGATCATGGCATACATAAAGGGGGTTGAAGTGTTAGAACACCAGAAAGGTAGGAAGGGCAAGACTGTAAAGGGTTTTAAATGCCAAATGATGCATTTATATTTGATCCAGGAGGTAATAGGGAGCTGCAGATGTTGAGACTCCCTCCGTTGATGTCAATTAGCAACTTCTCTGTAAATTGTGGTCTTGGAGCAGGAGGTATTGTGGGACCACATGATTGTCACCCAGGCAGAGTGTGTCAGAGACAGAACCTGAATCTGTGTCTTCCTGATTTCAAGGCCATATTGTGGGTATTAGCCTTCTCTTTCTCTCTTAGCTTCTTCCTCCGTCTCCCTTTTTTCCTCCTTTCCTACCTCATCTCTTTTCCTTTTCCCCCTTTGTAACTTGGAGATTTCCCTAAGGCTCTTAGAGATTACCTTCAAATAGCTAAAATGTACCAGGGCAGGACTGGAACTCTGCTCTTTAAGACTTCATGGTCTAAGCTTTATCCACTTTGCCTCTTAAATTATATATCTAGGGGTACAGCTATCACTCTGAGCATATTCAGTTTTGTTCTCTTGAACCTGTTAAACCACCTTGGTGCCCTAGGGAGAGCACTAGATGTGGAATTAGAGGGCCTGGGTTCAAGTCCTGGCTGTTACTTACTGGCTATGTGACTTTGGGCAGGTCTTTCCTATTTTCTGGGCTTGTTAGCTCATCTCTAGTTGCACTGTATACCCTGTGGGATTTCTGTGATGATATATGTAAAACACTGTAACAGTCTGCACTGTATCATATAGGGATCATAATACTTATAGAAGAAACGTATCTTAGAGGCCATCTGGTTCAACACTTGACACTGCCACCATGTAACATAGGAAGAAATTGAAGTCCATGCAGAGGAAGTGACTCACCCAGGGTCACACAGGCAGCAAATAGTAGAGTCAGGAGTCAAACACTGGTCTTCTCACTCTATAGTCAATGCCTTCCCAAGATACCACGTCATTTTTTTTACAGGTGTCAAGAAAACAAGACTTAATTCATACAGCGTCATAATTGAACATATGGAAATAGACACAGTGTTGCATCTTAGGTAAATTTGAGCTTTTGGTGGTGATGATAGTGATAGTGGTATCTATTAAGACTTGGTGTGACATCTTTAAGAAACTACATCCCAACATGGAAATGACTTTTTTTTTAAGGCAATTGGGGTTAAGTGACTTGCCCAAAGTCACACAGCTAATAAGTGTCAAATGTTTTGGTCTATAGTTAGATTTGAACTCAGGTGCTCTTTACTTCAGGGCCGGTGCTCTATCTACTGCGCCACCTAGCTGCCCCTAAGAATGGTCTTTTTTTTGTGAGGCATTTGGGGTGAAGTGACTTGCCCAGGGTCACACAGCTAGTAAGTGTCAAGTGTCTGAGGCCAGATTTGAACTCAGGTCATCCTTAATCCAGGGCCATTGCTCTATGCACTGTGCCATCTAGCTGCCCCTTGAAATTGACTTTTTAAAGGACACCTCACAGAATCAGTTATTATTGCTTATCTCTTAGGAATGAAGGTCTCGTGGTCCATCCTCCTCATTTTACAGATGGGAAAGCTAAGTTTCAGAGAAAAAGGTATTATACAGTATTATAGTATCTGCCAAAGTGCCTAGCATAGAACTGAGCACATTGTTGAGTGTTGACTGATTTTAGGGTAACACACTCCTGGAAACCCACTGAATTGTAAACACATGTTGGACTACTTATCTCTCTGTCTCTCCAAAGAGTCTTCTTCGGTTTGATGAAAAATTGGACATTGCAGCAATTATTTTGATAGTTTTAACTTAGTTTATTTAACATAGTGATGTAGCTTGGACTAATATTCATACTTTGCTAAAATGGAAGAAGAAAGCTACTTGAATACTTGCCCTAATAGGGAATTCACTACCGGAGAAGGAAATCTGTTTCTCTTTTGCACAGCTCTATTCTGAACAGATTACTAAACAGAAATCTGCCTCCCTGTACCTTTTACCCATTCTTTCTAGTTCTGCCTGCTCAAATCATCCAGAGCATGTCTGATCATCTCTCTTCTGCATGACAGATCTTCAGATATTTGAGAACATCTGTCATGTCTTTTCTTAAGTCTTTTCCTTTTCTACATAAATATAGTTTACAGAGGTATCAAACACACAGCTTGCAAAATACCCAAGTGGAATCAGGTTAAAATGTAATTAGGAAATATTTAACAAAATAAATAAAAATATAGTACAACATGCATAATGTTAATTTGTGGTTTTCTAAGTCAATATGTGGCCTGTAGGAATCCGTTTCCATTTGAGTTTGATACCACTGGTTAAGAAGGTCATCAGCATCTTGGTTGTAGCTACTACTCCAAAACATGTTCTAATTTGTCAATGCTTTTCTAAAATTTTAGCACCTGGAATTAAACACGTATCAGACCATGATCTCATTAGTGGAAAACCATAGGTCTTTCCAGTTTTCTGGGCTTCAGTCAGCTTGTCTCTAGTTGCACTGTATATCTCAAGGAATTTCTGTGATAATCAATCCACTGAGATGCAGTATATAGCCAAACTCAATATAGATTGTCCCAAAAGTTTTAGTGCCATTTTAAGCTTTAAAGTTTAAAATGCCCCTGAGGCTTTTGGGATATCCTGTACTTCCATCTCCTCATTTATTGTCTGCCTTCCCCCATCTCCATGATTTTGTTCATGCTTCCCTTTCCCCACCTCCCACCATACGTGGAATGAACTCCCCACTTACAAGTTCCATCTGTTGAGGTCCTTTCCTTCAAGGCCTAGATCAGATACCGCCACTTCCATAAGCCTTCTTTCACTTCCTTAAGGTAAATGTCATTTCTCCCTTCTCCAGTTTCTTATGGTGTGTGGGGATATCTCTTTTGCTCTTATTTCTCTCAGTTTATATCATCGGTATTTGCTCATGCATCTTTCCTTTCATTAGATTATAAGCTGCTTTAGGGCAGCAAGACTTAAGTTGTAGCTATCTTTGCATCTGTGGCACCTAATATTTTGAACATAGTTGGTGCTGAATCCATATTTGTTGAATATATGTTGAATGAGTGAAAAGAGTAGGGGATTGGTTGTGAAAACTATCAAATTCCACAGCGTCCAATATTTGTGCTGAACATAGTTATATCTTTAGACAAATAAAAATCCTTCATTGGTGAAGGGAGCCAATCTCTGCTATGAATTGTAAAGTCAAATATCCTTCAATGAAGTATAATGGTAATCTGTTATATTTATGTATTACTTGTCAATTTAGAAAGTATATTATATTTATAATCATCTCATTTGATCCTCACAATAACCTTGTAGGGCAGGGCAAGTATTATTCCCATTTTACAGATGAAGAAATAGAGGTTAAGGGACTTGCCCAAGGTCACATGGCTTGTTAATGGTAAAGCCAAGACCGGAATTCAGGTCCTCAGACTCCAAAGGAGTCCAGCAATCCTTCTACTACCTCACATTTCTTTTCCTTTCTAATGCAGACAGCTGAACCTTAATAGATTGTTGGTGACAGCATGGAGAAGTACCAAGAACCCTGAACTGGATGATGCAAACATAGGTTTAAATTCCAGCTAGTGCCACTTACTGGCTGTGTGACCTCAGACAAACCACTTCACTTCCTTGTCTACATAATCTTAGATTTGAAGGAATATGAGACATGTCATTTAGTCAAACCAAAACATCCCTTTAACAACATTGCCAAAAAGTAGTCATTTAACCTGTATTTAAAAACCTCCAGTGAGGAAACATCAGCTTCCCCATCCACAAAATGAGGGAGTAAGAGGAGATGATATCTAGTTCTAAATATGGCTACAGGATCTATGACCCTACCCAAGTCTTCTCCTCTCCCAGGCCCCCACTTCCCTTATCAGTCAAATTAATGGCTTGGGTTAAGTTTCCTTCTGCCTTTAACTCTAGGATCTGAGAGCATTTCAATGCCTCAGAAGCTGATAACCTTTGAAAAAACCCTTTGAAAAGTAACAGACTTTTTTGGACAGTGTTATGCAAATGCGAGGAGCTATTTATTTGTTGTTTTCTCCCTTCTTGATGGTCATGGGCTTACAGAATAGCCCCAGGTCATCGTTGGCTTCCAGATGGTATGTCTGCCCCTTAACACAGTTTCTCCCCAGACATTGTGGACATCAAGCCTGCCAACATGGAGGACCTGACTGAAGTGATTACGGCCTCAGAGTTCCATCCCCACCACTGTAACCTCTTCGTCTACAGCAGCAGTAAAGGATCCCTGAGATTGTGCGACATGAGAGCATCGGCCCTCTGTGACAAGCACTCCAAGCGTAAGTGGCTGCTCCTCACCCCATGGCTCCAATGGTCTTTGTCCTCTTTGCCCGCAGGGACGGCGGCCAGGGTCTTAGAGGCCCAAGGGCTGGCATGATCTTAGTCTGGGAAGACTTCACAGCTACAGCACAGATGCCACACCATGATGAGATCTTCCTTGTGTGCAGAAGGGAGAGTCCGTATTCACCTTTGTTCCTTGTGTTGCCCCTGAGATCTGGATGTTAGTACATGACTGTAGCACAGGCGTCTGGACTGTGAGGATGGGTAGGGCCAAGACTTTGCCAGTTACCTTGTATCCATGGAAACACATAGTCATTGTTGTCTAACATTCTGAAGAGCCTTAGAGTGCTGCAGCTCAGATGGGCTTGAGAGGTCATTGAGTTCAGACCTCTCCCCTGTCCCCTGACCCTACATGCGTGCACAGTACTAACTAGCACCTCCCCTCATTGCTCATGGCAATGGGGGTGTGACCCCCAAGACACTCCAAGCTCTTGGAACAACAACAACAACAACAATAGCGGCATCACCAGCAACAACTCACATTTATAAGGGCAGCAGAGTGATCTAATGGAAAGACCCACGAAATTCAATTCAGAAAGTTTGGTTTTAGGTCCCAGCTCAGACTTTTGATTAGGTGATATCCATGGGGATTAGATGGGAAGAGCAATTCACTGGGGCTATGAGATTCAAGTTATCTCACCTATAAAAGTGGGAGAAGAGGTCTACTGTAGAGTACTCGATCTACCATAGTGGACGGTGGAAATTTGCTGAGCTACACTGGGTGAGGGAGTTTCCTCTTTAGGCATTCCCTGTACAAATGGCTCCAGTCTAAAAAAATGGGGATAATAATATTTATATAACCTGACAAATAAGGTAAGAAAGGATTCATGATGCTACATGAATGAATAAGTAGTGACTTAAAAGTGAAAAATCGATCACATAGTTTGGTACAGGACTTGTGATTTCAATGGTATAAAAAACTCCCACCTGAGGAAATTCCCTTTACTTATGCAGATCATCACCTTCTCCTTAGTTTACAGTCTTCCAGAGTTGTATGGGAACACTGAAGAGGTTAGAGGACTTGCCCAGGGTCACCCAATAGTCTTTGTCAGAGGCAGGACTTGAATCCAGATCTTCCTGGCTTTGAAGCCAGCTGTCTTATCTACTGCACCATACCTCCAATTTTGCATCAATACAAGCTATTATATTATAATAATTTAAAAAATTATAATAATACACTTCAGTATTTATATAATAACTGAGCATAATATATTAATTATTACAATAGCTCATATAGTACTTTCCTTCGAAGAAACCATTCGTAGTAGGTAATATAATTATCATACTGATACAGCTAAGGCATCTAGATAGTATAGTGAATAGAGTACTGGGCTTGGAGGCAGGAAGACCTGAGTTCAGATCTAGTCTTAGACACATATTACTTGTGTGACCCTGGGCAAGTCACTTAACTGCTATTTGCCTCAGTTTCCTCATCTATAATATGAGGACAATAATAGCACCTAACCTGCCGGGTTGTTGTGAGAATCAGATGAGATAATACTTGTAAAGTGACTTGGAAATCTTAAAACACTACATAAAAGCTATCTATTGTGATATTATGGGGAACATTGCCTACGTAAAGGGACAGAGTTAGGAGATGGAATGTCATGTATAAGGAATATGTATGTAAAAGGTCGGTTTAACTGGAACATGGAGGGTGGAAAGGCGAATAATAGATAATAAATTGGGAAAAGAAGGGTAGAATCAGATTGTGAAGAGCTTAAAATACCAAAAGAGGAGTTGGTATTTTATCCTTCAGGTAATCCGGAACCACTGCGATTTTTTAAGCAGGGAATGAGATTGTCAGAGTTGGGCACTGATCACACCACTCATCAATACAGAGCTTTATATGAGTTTCAAGTCCTCTGTAACACTAGCTGGTTGGTGCTATGCTTTATGAGCAAAGCAGAATTGAAATAGCTCAAAAGAAACACAAGATGCACGAATTTAGAGAATCCACCCCAAATGTTCACATGGACTATTTGTGCCCGACCTGTGGTAGAACATTCCGAGTTTATGCTGGTCTGATCAGCCACAGTTGGACACACTGAAACTTGACTCGCGGGTAGTGATGCCAGTTTGGTCCTCTTTGAGAATGAAGGACCACAACCAATCAGCTGGTCTCTACTAAGAGCCATATCCTTCCTCACCAGCTGCTTATCAGAATCAGTCTGCACCACCAGTCCAGTTGCCTCCTCTTCTGCATAGGCCTTGTGACACAGGAGTGGGGGAACCCCAGTGGGTGATACCTTAGGGGCAGTGGAAAGTTTTGAGGTTTGTTTTCTGTTTGGTTGTTGTTATTTTTCACCCTTCATCATTTAAGAAATGGGCAGGAAAGGACAATGAAGAAAGACAGTTTCATAATATAGTCAAGCGCAATCAGCCCACTAGAGTTCAGATGAAGGAGTGTATGCAAATTTAAATTGTTTTCAATCAGTGTCTGGGAAGGAGGTAGCATAAGTGCTATCTGTATATCAGTCAACTTGTCCTACTCAAGAGGACCCTTGTCTATGTAAAATAACCTTATTTTAGATTATATATGTATGCCTTCATTAAAATCTTCTATCGGTAGCCCCATCATAGCATGGAAGGGGGCATTGGTTTTTCAAAAAAGCTATGTCAATGGAGTAGAAACCCTAGAAAGTCCTACCAAGAAGAACTATCCACAAAATAACAATAAAAATAGCTAGTATTTGGACAGCACTTTGGGCAGCTAGGTGGTACAGTGGATAAAGTACCAAGCCTAGAGTCAGGAGGGTCTGAGTTCAAATATGACCTCAAATGCTTACTAGCTGTGTGACCCTGCGCAAGTCATTTAACCTCTATTTGCCTCAGTTCCTCATCTATAAAATGGGGACACACTTGAGAAGGAAATAGCAAACCACTGTATTATCTTTGCCAAGTCAGACATGACTAAATGACTAAATAAGAAAATTGCGCTGTAAGAGTTTGCAAAGCACTTTACCTGTATTCATTCTCTTATTTTGTTCACACAACAACCCTGTGATGGAAGCTGATATCATCATCATCATCATCATCACCATCATCATCCCTATCATCATCCCCATTTTACAGATGAGGAAACTGAAGCCTAAAGAGATTGTCATTTGCACATGGTCACACAGCCAATAAATATGTAAAGCAGAATTTGAACTCAGGTTTCCCTGACTCCGGGTCTGCCATGCCACCTAGCTGCCTCATGACTGAGATGTGAGTCAATTGACAAATATCTTTTTGCTGCCCCAGGAGCAATAAAGTTGGGTTCAGAGGTGCTGCGCATAGCAGGGGATGGATCAATTTATTTTGTAAGAACACCCTATAAAGATCTTTTACTATGAAAGCTTAGAGGGGCCAGCATGGTCTAGTGTAGGAATGACATGTTTAGAGTTAGAGGACTTAGATTTGAAATCCAGTTCTTATTACTTGAGCAACCTCAGGGAGTCACTTCTCTGTAGGCTTCAAGTTTTCCTGCCTTGTGGTTGTAAAACAAGGGATAGGATTAGGTGATTCCTAAGGTCCCTTCTAGCTCATCTTGCCAAGATACTTTGGAGAAAAAGAATCTCACAGGAGGAGAAGGGGTTTAATACACATCAGTAGAGAGAGTATCCACACCAAGGAAATTAGAGGTTTTGCAAAGTAGTTAAGTATGGAAAACATCGTTGCTGAAATAGAAATGAGGTCAGTAAGCGGACCCAAGCAAGTCCGTGTGGACCTGGGGCATGTTTTCTGGTCCTGTTCTTGGAGAGCTTAGAGATTGATCCCCTCACATGGGCCTTTGTAAGAGCTAGTTCTTCAGCATTTCCCCCAACTAAAATGTGAGAGTGTGGTCACTCATGAATCTCACAGAACCATAGACCCTCAGAGTTAGGAAGTACCAAGCTGTTAACTGGTCCAGCCCCAACCAAACCTTCACAAGTTGTAGTGACTTAAAGTAATAAAGAGATCAGACTGAATCTCAGACCTCAGGCCCTCCAGGACACAGGGATATGTGCCTTCTTCTGTGGAGAGCCAGACACAGGGAACATTCTAGTTTGGTTAGGGTGTGTGTGTGTGTGTGTGTGCGCGCGCAAAAACCCACCCATTCACATCATAGGAACCACCTACTTCATGGAATCCTAATATTGTTACCACCCCATCTGACAGTGTTGGTCAGTGGGTTGAATTGGAGGGAACATCAGGAAAATGGGGTACAGCAGAGTGTAGAGGTGTCCTCCACAGTGTATGGGGTGTCTCTACTATGCTGAAACTTCCAGTAACAGTAGGTTGAATTGGTATAATCTACCTCCAGCACATGCCTTCAGGTTCACCATTATATTTTGGTCATTCAGACTTGGATGGGCCATCCTGGCCAATGTGTGGTAGTGAGAGTAGAGTGAAGGCAGAGAGCCCAGCTAACTCACTGAGGTTTGGATCAGCAGTAGGGCCTACAGTCCTAATGTCAATATCTTTCTCCCCTTGTGTCATTATTGTGGCACATAGAACTTGTCTAGGCTGGTCTGGGGTCACTATTAATTTGGTTCCACAGCCCATAGACAGCCTACCCCAGAATCAGAAGATTAAGTGGTGTTTAAAACTCTGATCTTATCCAGTCTAGAGCTGCTGATCTGCATTTTACAAGTAAGCTTACTGTCCCATCATTGCTCTTCCTAGAGAGGGGCTACCCAATCATGGTCACTAGGACTTGAAAAATAGACCAGCTCCCCTTTCATGTTGTAATGGGTGTGTGTGTGTGTGTGTGTGTGTGTGTGTATGTGTGTATGTGTGTGTGTGTGTGTTCTGGAACAAATGCTTGGAGTTAATCCATTCATTTTCCAAGGTCCCGCCTTTGGGCTAGGCTTTCTCTATGGCTGAGTGAGTACAAATTCACCCAATCTGCTATATCTAGCCAATCCTAGATCAGGCCATGCATCTTGTCCCATCCAGCCAAACCATCTTGACA